CCGAAGACACGATTTTCTGTCGGTTTTTCTTCGACGAAGAACACTATCCTCCGCGGATGTTCGAAGCGTAAGAAAATGGAGAAAAAATTCCGCACAGTATTTCGTATAATAAGAAGCGCGTAATATTAACTCGTGGTCTCGTGGTGGTTTTGGCTACACTCACAATCGTAACTCACCTACTATACAACTTGAAGTTAAAACCTGTAGGTAGCTATAATGGCTTTTTGAAAAAGCAAACACCAGACATAGCTGCTCCAGTTGTTGAGTGTGTAAGTAAAAGACAACCCTGACATTTCCAACATTGACGGCAAACCCACAAAGAGCTAGTGTTCAGCTACTTGCCATTTGTGTAAGCTCTAAACCCTCCGCTGTGTACAAAGCTGCCACGCTAGCTTGGCAGCTATGATTCTCGGCGAGTGAAGCTTAGCCTCGCTCTCAGTTTCTTTGAACGCAACCTTTAACCCCAATGCTTATGCTTAATTGAAATGTGCTTGACCACGGCAAGGCATACACAGTAATGAAATGTTTTATGTCCTTATATGGCGTGATTCATTGTCAAACAACTGGCCAGTATTATTCTTCAAAGGGCTGTTGTTGCAGTTGAGGGGAACCGTCAACTTTGCACGTAGAGTAGCTACAGCGCAGTGAAGTTGAGGTTAGCAACACTGGCGAAAAAGTCGTGGTAGACGTTCATACAGCAACCCTGGTTTGTAGCTGCTGACTGTAGCTTAGATTGACAGTTTGTGTCACACGTTTGTGTCCCCGCAAAGACCGAGTAATAGCAGGGTGCTTCTGTAGTGACGAAGAGACCAAGGGTGCTGGCGTACACTTTCCTCCGTTCTTGTTTGTGGCGCACAATCCGACGAGAAAGTCCGTAGCTCCACGCATCATATCGAAAGTTCCACACTCTTTGTGAGCGTTGAGAACTACTGTCCCACATTCTGGAGCACAGAAAATTTCGAACCCGTCGTTGATGGTTGCTTGCAGCGCGTTGTTGTCGCCCATAAAATCGTCGTCGGCCGCCTTCTGGCACCGGGAAGCCTCCTCGGAGCCGTCGCCGAACGCTTCGTTCACTTTGTTGCTTACACACTGGATCTTTTCGGGCCCCAGGTCGGCGACGGCCTGGCGCTTTTCCACCGAGTGGTGACCAGCAGCGTGGCTCAGTACGCCGTGCACAGCGACGTGAGGATCGGCGTAGCAACCTGCTACGAGGAGGAGAACGGCAGCGGAGAGTAACACGAAGGCAGACATTCTTCGACTGTGACGGCTAACGGAAAAACAACAGTATAATTATTATTGTGCCAAATGGGGATTATCCTGCCACCCGCAACCCAGAGATTAAGCGGGGAGTTACCACACATTCCACTACTCAGACCCACAAGGGGCACACCACACAGAAATTTAGTGCACTTGAAACCGCAGGTGCGCCGTTTCAGCCTCTTTGTGAAGATGTGTTGGGAAGCAGTAACTGTAGGTTTTATGTATAATGACCACAACAATGACCTGTGGCATACTGGACTGTGTACTATTTTTCTGGCTTGTTGCCATCAATGTTGGAAAAGTCAGGGCTGTCTTATATCATACACTAAAACACTGGAGCAGTTAAAGCCTTGTCGGCTCTATATAGCTATGCCTTTTCACCCGCAAACAAACACACCAGGTTTTACCTTCAAGATAATTATAGTAGGTGAGCCACGCATTGAACCAACGCTGGACCAAAGCAGACCGCCGCAGGACCAAACCCGACCCTCAACTAGTGCACAACAACCCAACACTCCTTGAAGGATATTTAGAGATATTAGGCCGGACAAAAGCCAGTTTGTGGTCTTGTAAGACCTTTTTCATGGGTTAAAGTTCATGGAGGAATCTAGGAAACGGGAATTTCTTGTATAGTCCGTTAATCACAAACCATGCTCCCTCGGTAGAAGTGCTGTTCAGGAAGGCTGAGTGTTGTTGAATCTCTCTGAACTCATTGTGAGCATAGCTAACATCCAAAACCTGTGTTCCCTAATTTAGCTGTCTCCACAACTAGTGGGTGAACTAGATAGATAATTTTCAATTGGAGATTGTTAGAGTAAATTTTCAAGGCTCCAAAACTCACAAACTAAACAGCTCATGCTTTCTATCAATGAAAATTAAAGTGCAAACCCTCAGCGAATTGCGCATGCGCGGTACCGCTAATTGATGGGCTGGCTATTCGTGGTCTCCCGCTATATATTATAGCTCGCGGAGTGTCGGACGCGGGCTAGCTACACTAGCAGATTGCATGCGGGAGTCGATACACGCCCTTCGTTGTGACTTCTTTTGTTCGAGATACACGGAGCAAGTGAACCCGGTCGATGTAAGCCTGTGCTAATTAGCATTTTTTTACGAAAATCGCCATTTTTTAAATCAACCCAGTGTAGCGCTGAACCACTTGTTGGTGTCGCTTTTTGGTCGGTTTGTTGCGCGTGGTGGCAGATTAAAACGTAACACGACACACACACACACACACAGACATCATATAACTGGTACTCCCACTGCCCCAGTGTCTAAACTTACCTAGGTACGCTGTTTTTATATTATTATTATTATTATTATTATTATTATTTTCCAAAACTCTCTATATAACATGACATGATAATACCTGCCATACACTCACGTACATTTACAGTAAAGAAAAGCACTAAAGTGCAAACCCTCGGCGAATTGCGCATGCGCGGTACGGTTAATTTATCATCACTTTGAACATTGATGGGCTGGGCTATGTAGTATACGTTTACTCGTCGTCTCCACAAACACAATATTGTACCACACTAAAAGAGAAATCATTCGCATGGACAGACTGAGCTGTTGGGTCGCAGATGGGCATTGGACTGGCTGGCTGGGATCATGAGTGAACTAGCTTGTGGCTCAGTGTACTTTAGCCTTTTAAATGTCTAGACTAGAATTTAACATAACTACACGTGCCTTATACACGTAACTCCTTTGCTATAACCTGAAAACATGCTGAATATCTCCCCTGAGATATGAGACTGCAATGATTAATGTGCTTGGCCACGGCAAGGCCGGACACAAGATAATACACAGTAATGAAATGTTTTACGTCCTTATATGGCGTGATTACAACTGGGCTTCAGCCAGTATTACTCTTCAAAGGGCTGTTGTTGCAGTTGGGGGGAACGTCAACTTTGCACGTAGAGTACAGCGCAGTGAAGTTGAGGTTAGCAACACTGGCGAAAAAGTCGTGGTAGACGTTCATACAGCAACCCTGGTCTGTAGCTGCCGACTGTAGCTTAGATTGACAGTTTGTGTCACACGTTTGTGTCCCCGCAAAGACCGAGTAATAGCAGGGTGCTTCTGTAGTGACGAAGAGACCAAGGGTGCTGGCGTAACTCTCGTAGCACTTTCCTCCGTTCTTGTTGGTGGCACACAATCCGACGAGAAAGTCCGTAGCGCCACTCATCATATCGAAAGTTCCACACTCTTTGTGAGCGTTGAGAACTACTGTCCCACATTCTGGAGCACAGAAAATTTCGAACCCGTCGTTAATGGTTGTTTGCAGCGCGTTGTTGTTGCCCAGAAAATCGTCGTCGGCCGCCTTCTGGCACCGGGAAGCCTCCTCGGAGCCGTCGCCGAACGCTTCGTCACTTTGTTGCTTAGACACTGGATCTTTGTTTTTGGTTTGTTTTTTTTTTGTTTGTGGTTTTTTTGTTTGTGGTTTTGTGGTGTTTTTTTTTGTTGTTTTTTTTTTTGTTTGTTTTTTTTGTTTGTTGTGGTGTTTTTTTGTTGTGTTGTTTTTTCTGTTGTTTTTTTTTTTTTGTTGTTTATTTTTTTGTTATTTTTTTGTTTGTTGTTTTTATGTTGTTTGTTTTTTTGGTTGTTTTTTTGTTTGTTTTGGTTTTTTTGGTTGTTTTTTGTTTGATGTTGTGATTTTTTTGTGTTTGTGTTTTCTTGTTGGTTTTGGTTGAAAATAATTGTTTCTTGATATTTACGGTCGCCTTTTTGGGATGTGTATAGTGATTGATTTTCGGTGGTTTGTGTTATAACATTTTTTTATTTTATTGGGGAGAGTAAGTGGTCGCTTTTAATAGCGGAATGGTTTCCCTAGTTGGTGTGTTTGGATAAGGGACAGGTGGTGGAATATTAGTAGAGTACCGGTGTGACCTAAGGCGTAAAGATATCCATTTCACACCAGAAAGGGTCGGCGACTGCCTGGCGCTTTTCCAGCCGAGTGGTACCTGCAGCGTTGGCCTCATACGCCGTGCACAAGCGACGTGAGGAATCTGCGTAGCAACCTGCGACGAGGAGGAGAACGGGAGGCGCGAGGTAACACGGGGCAACATTCTTCGACGAACAACCAAACGCTGGGATTAGTTAACCAGAATCAGTGACATTGCGAAATTACGTCACGTAAAATTTAACGCGGGCGCGGCGCGGGCGGGGGCCACGTCAATGGAGACCTCTTCTTTACTGCAGGTTTTCCTCGGGACTCAGGGGGTGGTGGCAGAGATGCTCATTTATAGATGCAAACTATGGTTACTACTCTCCAGAATGAGCTACAAATTCGCCCACCTCGGCGGGCCTGTACGCGACACGCCTATTTTTATTCATACTATATACAGTTCGTTCCATATCATACGTGTACATTTGTAGAAGAAACCTGGTTAATAGCTTCTAGTAAGCATAGAAACTGATGTCTCTTGCGTGCTTTTACCCTTACGCTTATTGAAATTCGTCGAAAATCTTCATTTTTCGGCTTTTTTGGACCCAATTTGTCCGCTATTGGACCTATAATTAGACAATACCATGCCCTTTGAACCCTCCCCTACAAATTTAATATCGAAGTGTGAGACCCTAGTCCCGTAATGGAACAGACAGGAGAGGCATTTCCCACAGTACCTGAGATTCGTATTGTCTCCCCAGACAACGAGCCAATAGTAGAAAGTTCTGGTTACATTGAAGAGTGCACTTCGCAAAATATGATGCCACTCCAACCTCCGACCTCACTGATGTAACAGGTGAGGGTAGAGTTCACAGACAAGGCCAATGACTTTAGTCTGGAGATCCCAGAGGGAGCCATTCCTGAGGGAGAGAGACTCACAGTTGATGTGGGGTGGCCCTCTCTGGCCGTTCTAAGTTCCCAGAAGGTCTGAGACTCGTGTCTCCGTGTTTCTTGAGTCTGCGCCAAGAAGAATCCCAGTTCTCGAAAAACCAGTCTTAGTCACAATCCCTCACTCCTTAACCTTACGAAACGATGACGACATCACATCTCTGGGTCTCACTTCCTCAAAGCAGACCACAACAGAACTCTGAGGGTCTGTACGAGTTCACAGAGAGCAGACGGACAAATGATCTTTGACCTCATAGAGATTTGGTGTTCTTCACACAACTCACTTCTGCTCTCTCTGTATCGCCTGCATAGACATTGCAGAGTCTGAGAACGACAACATTCTGCATCAATGCCGTGCTACTACAAACACCACCATCCCAGTTGGCAGGAAGGCTTACGGCTATTTTTTTTGACATTTCAACCTAGGACATGTCTCAGGAGACTGGACGAGATATTAAAAGGAATGAACTAGTCGGATATGATGTGAAGAGGGATGCATTTGAGTTTAGGGCTACTAATTCATCGGAAGAGCCAACACTAGAGATGACCATTACCCAACCAGAGCATGGAATAATTGGTGTTAATGAACCTGGACTGTAAGTTCATGCATGATTCATGCTGTGGCGATATTATGAAGAGTGAATTGTCTTTCAGGTCCAACATCATAAATTGACTTCTTCATTCGAGAGCCAGTTTCAAAGGAAGCTTTTTGGCAGACATTTGACCAAAGAGAATGC